TTTTCTAGATATTTTTAATTGTCCGATTAATTTCTTTCTATTTTTAGTAGAGACGCGGTCTCGCTCTTGCTCGGGCTGGTCTCGAACTCCTGAGCTCAAACAATCTGCCCGCCTCGGCCTCCCAAAGTGCTAGGATTATAGGCGTGAGCCACCGCGCCCGGCCAGAATGCATCTTTTTTTAATTTTTATTAACATTCCTAAGGTAGGATTCTGTTATATAGCTAGATTCAAGCTGTATTCATGTTATATCAAATTTATAAGGATGCCGAGTAAAGTTACAGATTGAAAAATGGAGTGGAAGAGGAAAAAAGCATCTAGCAAAATTTATCAGGACAAAAAGTACCTGTCTCCTAAAAAATTACCACACATAAGAGTCAATGATGAAATAAAAATGTTCAGAGAAGACTTGGCCCAAATGCTTATTAAGCTCATATAAGACATTTTATCACTATCCATATGCTTTAGAAAATATGAAAGGTCAGATTAAGGTCTTCAACAAAAAGAAGCATGAAAGAAATTACAAACCAATGCAGGGTGTTACAAGGGAAAACAAGGACGACATCAGTTATAGAGGCTCCCTGCCAGTTCAGATGACTGTCATTATTTCACCAGTTATTAAAAACTCATATAAAATGTATATTTTTGTATCAGATTATATGTTATGTTTGTATTCTTATATTTACATACAACATTTAAAAATCACTCTTTTCCCCCAATCTTTTACTTAACAACTATTTATGTCTTTTCTTACCTCTTGTGTTAATTTTGGTATGGACTTCGAGCAGGGGATCACTTGAGACCATACAGGGCCACCAAGGATAGGTTCCCACCTTGGACCAAACAAGATCACCGACCTGGAACTTAACACCAGTAGACACTTCCGTTGTTGGAACAGAAGATAGTATTGGCTGAACCTACAGGAAAAGGTCACAAAAATTCACAGAAATTTCAAAAATGAGACTATGTACAAAGTATATTAAAAATGCTAACAACGTAAAATTTATCTTCAATTATACTTTTCTCCGATAACTGCTATCTGAAACTAGCAAAAGGGAAGTAGGAAAAAAATTAATAAGCCCTACCCCAAATACTGAAAATAGGATTAGTGGTTTCTGTTGCCAAATTATTGATAAGTCATCTTGAGAATACACATGATCAATTAAAAAAATGGCCATATTTTTAAAAAGGAAAATAATTCACTGAAAATAGCTACCTTGTAAATCAGTTCCGAGATTTATTTCAGTATAATTTCTGAAATAAAGTAGTACGGAACTGTAATCACACAATGTGTTGCAATTTAAGCACTGTTTCACCTTCTTACACCATATATTTATTTATTGTATCTGTCTTAGAGACAGGGTCTCGCTCTGTCACCTAGGCTGGAAGGCAGTGGTAAGATTTTCTTAATAGCTCACTGCAGCATCGAATTCATGGGCTCAAGCAATACTCCTGCCTCAGCCTCCTGAATAGCTGGGACCATAGGCACATGCCACCGTGTCTGGCTAATTTTTCTTATGTTTTGTAGAGATGAGGGTCTCGCTATGTTGCCCAGGCTGGTCCCAAACTCCTGGCCATAAGCGATCTTCCTACCTCAGCCTCCCAAGGTGCTGAGATTACAGGTGTGAGTCACTGCACCTGGTCCATCTTACACTATACTTGGTTAGACAATATTCAATAAAGCAACTCACCGGGGCTTCTTCTTTTAGTACTGGGTCTTCTCTTGGTTTTTCTGCTACAGTGTCAACCCTTTCATTTGGTCTCTAGGGGAAAAGGTATAGGTGAATAGAATAAAATGGCAGTAAACCAAAGAACAATGACATATAGAAAAATAATCAAAGAAAACTAAGTACCAAAGAGAATAAAGGACAATTATTAACTGAACAATGTAAATAGTGAGAATGCAATGTACTCAATACATAATGCTATGTTTCATTCCACATCATAGCTGTATCTCCTACTCTTTCTTTTTTTTTGAGATAGGGTCTTGCTCTGTCACCCAGGCTGTGGTACAGTGGTGTCATCATGGCTCACTGCAACCTTAAACTCCTGGCTTCGAGAAATCCTCCCACCTCAGCCTCCCAAATTGCTAGGATTACAGGCATAAGCACCGCATCCAGTTTTCTATTTCTTGCTTTATTACTTTTAAAACTTAATTTCTAATTAAATTGGCATTATTTTTTTTTTTTACCTATCAGATTACAGAAAAAATGGGCACTCCGAGATTACTAGTAAGATGCAACTTGGAACTTTTCTGGAAAGCAATTTGGCAATATGTATGAAAAGCTTTAAATTTTCAGACTCTGACCCAGCAAATCCACTTGTAAGAATGTATACTGAAAAAGCACTGAGAGAGGTGAAAAATGTATATACGTACGATGATATGCATACCAGTACTACTTACAGGAGCAAAGTAGTAGAAACAATCTATGTGCCCCAAAATGTAGAATTAGTTAAATAAATTACAGTGTAAATAAATAGAATAATATACACATATTTTTAAATAACATTACTTATACTGTTATTTGAAAACACCAAATTGCAAAGCAGTTTGAATAGTATAATTCCAGTCTTGGAAAAATAATTTTTCTTATGTGCATAGAAAAAAAGACTACTTCCAGGATATAAGGTTACCACCAGGTGATGAAATAAATAAAAATTTTTTGGTGCCTTTCTGTATTTGTCAAACTATCTATAATAAACATTACATTACTTTTTAAATCATAAACCCCACAAGTATGTTATTTTAAGAAACTAATTTCTACAATTCTTTGGGGAGGCAATTCAGAAGTACTCATGAAAATTCAAAATATGTATACTCTTCAATCTAGCAATAACATTTTAGAAACTTATCCTACAGAAATACACAAAATGAGAAAATCTAAGCAGAGGAATTGTCCCTACAGTATTATTTCATATCAGTAGTCTATACATCTATCAACATCTTCTGACTTTTTATTTTAAAATAGTTTATATGTGCCTTGAAAATATTTGGTACAATGGAAACCAAACTGATAACAGTAATTATCCTTGGGAAGGAGTGTAGGAAAACAATGGAGGAAGATCTCCTATACTTTTTAGTATCTGTATTTTCTGTAAAAAGCAACTTCCTTCTATAATTTAAAAGATTTTTAAAATTTCTCACTTGTCAGAGAACAGAATTTAATTTAGATGGTTTAAAAAAGAGAGTAT